TCACCTCAACTTTGTGTTTTCACTGCTACTTACTGGGTGTAGTTATAAATAAGTTGTTGACTTGACCAGTTTGCAGAGATCAAGCCGATGGTGCTGTGTGTTTTTTTTGGACTCTAATCAAACCCCCCTGCATTAATCCCCCCCCCCCCACTAATCCCCCCCCCCACACACACTTCATCTCTCCTGATCCTCCAGCTTTTACGAACGCTCTCTGGTCTCTGGCCGCTCTCCTTTATCTGCAGTTTGTGTTTAATCTCTCTGGTTGATCAGTAAACACGCGCTGAGAGACAGAAAGGGCTGATTTTACAGGAATCCTCCTGGACCATAATTCTAAGATATCTCCAGCATAGCTGCAGTCACGAGGTCGTACTTCACCTCCTCAACCCTGAAGGGAGACGGAGGAGAATCATTACGACAAAATAATGGCATGAACCAAAACCCTAATGCTAACCCAGAGAATTTGAAAATAAAATTAGACCTAAAGAGTCGTGCTTTTTATGCCAAGTCACTACGTTAAAAGATTTGGTCAATGATGCATGAGACCACCCAGAACATTAGATGTAATCTGCAGCTTCAGACATACAGTACAGTATATGTGGGTTTGAAAACTCTGCCTGTGTAGAGCAGGTCAGTGGAGGTGAAAGTAAATGATCGTATTCCGTTTGTGGAAATGAATTTTATGAGACATTTAATTTTTTGTTACAAAAGTGGAGATTAATAGTCATACCAAAGAAGTGACTTTTACTGGAATACAAAAAAAAAATCATAAAATTGTCTGCAGTGATGATGATTTTTGTCTGAGTAACACATTTCTTTCTTGCACGTGTTCTAATAAAACAATACACTGAGACTCTTCCAAACAGACTACGACTCCAGCAAAGTTGGTGTCATCTTATGGACAAAGGAACTTAAATTACATCAGTAATACAACCCAGTGATTCCCATTTTTTTCTGCAGCACTCTGTTTTTTATGATTTACCTCATGTGAGATACTGTAAAGCCCTGAAAGCTGTCATTCTCATTAATCAACCAAAATAAAATTCCAAATCAGTGCAATTTTCCCCACTCTTCACTCTGCAAGGGGACCCCGCCCCCTACTTTGGGCACCACCATTCTATAGGGAAGCAGCATTTAAGAAGGTGCTGCAGACTTACAGGAAGTCATGTGATCGTTAATGTTTAAAGACGCCGGGGTGTGAAAAGGCATTGACTTTCGAGTAGTAAATGTAGACTGTAGTAAATGTAAACTGTAGTAAATGTAAACTGCAGTAAATGTAAACTGCAGTAAACTGAAGTTCAAGGTGAAACCTGACATCAGAGGACAGGGCGGAGGATGAGCCGAGGAGCAGGCAGTGGGTTTGGGTTTGTGTTTGTGTGCGTCGGGGGAGTCGGTGGCAGCTGATAATTTGTGTGCTATTTTTAATCAGTGCACGGAGAGAGGAACAGGCCTGTGTCTGTGGTGCTGCACCGTGAGCCCACCAGAGAGCAGGAGGATTTACCGAGAGCACATGAGCTCAGTGCTGCTGTTTAAATCACACTCTGTGACTGGAGCGGTCTCTCTTAATGTCTTTACCATCACCTTTGTTCTCAGCTCTCCACGTCTTCCTGTGTGGAACACGGTCAGACACACGGCCCCGCAATTATTATTCACACTGATGATTCACACTAATTCCACGCTCAGGTTCACTCCTCAGTCAGTGAGCCGTTCGATTCTTCTTCTCTTGTCCTGCCGTCTGAAACTGGAAGAGTGTTTATTAAAATTATATTAGCGGGAAATAAAAACATGGTCTTGAATCATGACGATTGACGTCGTTTTTTTTGCCATAACTTACAGCAATAACAAGGACTGAGTTTTGGGAGGAGGGGGAAGGAAGGGGGGGGGATGAGAGGGGCCTTTGTGTGTGTGAGTCATTAGGGCGTTTGCAGAGATAGTGTACAAGGGCAGAGGGAGTACACTCTGAGAGACAAGGAGAGGGGGGAGAGAGAAAGGAGTAAATCTGCTCCGCAGCCTCGCCGGCTTCAGGTTTATAGGTGTGCGGAGCATGCAGTGTGTTTCCAGGGGTTTCCATGCTGTCACAAAGACCCCTGTGAGACCGGCTTATTTACCCTGCAGTAAAACCCGAGAGGGAGTATACCCAGCAGTAAAAGTGGAGAGAAAGTTCAGTGGAATTAGATTTAGGGGGCAGCCTCTGGCTCTGAGTTCTGACTGTGCCGTCAGGGAAAACCCACTCTGCTGCTCTGGTTCCGTTGTTCAGATTGAGTTATGCTGCGCTGCCAGTCAGAGCGGTAACTGTGGTCAATTACACACAAACACATCTCAGAAAATCCTCTGAAGATTACAGGACTTTCCTACGTTGTAAGATGTGTCACCTCTGGTCCAGGAGGTGAAAAATACTCGAGGAATGGATTTGTTTTTTTCCCCTTCATTTGTTCCAGATATTTCCAGCACCAGAAGAACCTGGTTTGTTGACCTGCCTACTGACCCTATGGCTACAAAAATACTTGTTTTGTTGTTTTGTTCACTGTCTTTGGGAGACTCTGGCCGGTCCACTTGTCTTTGGACCAGAAATGACTGAGAGCTTTTTCGGAGCCATTGTCCAGAATAGTTTTTATTTAAAGAGGTATTACATTATTCTCAGTTATTGGTTACATAGTGGCTGGTAGAGTGACAGGATATTAATTTAGCATAAATAAGCAGTTGTGCAATTAAGGGTTATTACATTTCACAATGCTATCGCATGAGCACTTGCTTTACTGTACAAGGTTCATTTTCACAGATGAACGCAAAAATGTGCTTTCGCTCGCTCTTTACAGAATACCCGGAGTCCACGATCTGATGGGAGCGAAGGAGGGGAACACCAACCAACAGGAAACCGACGACGCACCGGCGCCGAGTTAACGGATATTGCATACACAGTTCAGCGGTGCACGGCTGGGCGCCGCCATCCACCCTGCAGAGGTGCAGCACTGTAGAGGTCTCACCGACAGACTCCAGACGAGGGAGATGTTTGTTGGGTAAGAAGTTTGACATTCTGACCTCTCCACCTCATGGAGAGTATTGCTTTGTTACATTCCACATTTTCAAGTCATTCATTAAACAGTTCCAGGCTCAGATTTCTGTATTAGAAGAGTCCACATGCAAAAAAGAGCTGGTGTGTGTGTGTGTGTGTGTGTGTTTTGATAGCAGCGCTTACAAGCATTTACATCCAAAGCTGGAAGTTCAGTCCTGTTTCTAACATTTGTGACTTCTTCTTCTTCTTCTTCTCCTTCTTCTTTTTTACTTCACTTATATCTGAAGCTGCAAAATGAAATGTCTGTAAACCTCGGAATATTTTTTTGCATTTTTTCTTTTTTGTTTGGCCGTGATGTTTTGACAAAGCGATGGAAATACAGACAGAGGATGCAGTCACGTAACAAATTACACCTGAAACACAGCAAATAATTTACATCTTAAATCAAGTCCAATTTTTTTTTAGAAAAGACTGAATTGAAAATTTATGAATTTATCCAAAAACTCTAATGTGGGATTATTCATTACCTGTATTAGGATCTGCAATCTGTCATTTGTGATACTGTTTTGTATAAAATGGGTCCACAAAGAAAAAGAACATCGACAGGCGGTGTGCAAACTTTACATTGCTTCAAAGTTACATTTCAGCTAACCCTTAATCTACCATCAAACCCTCTTCTGGTTCAGAAAATTCCATCTCAAACCACAAACTGGAAGCTGCGAAATCGAAATTTCCATCGTGGCACGCTCTCCAGTCAGTTTCTTGCCCTCCGTCCCCGGCTGCTTGTATCAAGCGGCCGGTTTGTGTCATTGAGGAGCAAAAGAATGAGTCAATCCAAGGCACTTGATTCTTTTCACGGTTAACTAGAAATCAACACTGCTGTCTCGTCAGTTCCCTTCTCTGCAGAGTAGAAATGCACTTGATGAAATGATGACGATGATTAACTGATTACTCCTAATCAACAGACACCAACTCTGGCACCACGCTCCTCCGCATGTGCGCTCTGATGACGTGTGTTACATCAGTGCCACTTCAGAGACGTGGGCATTATAAAGTTTTATATTTCATGCAACACGACCAATAGAAATAAACAACCTCTGCAAATCAAAGAGCTCAGGGTCGGGAAACACATGGGACACGCCAACGAAGTGACTCCAAAATGGAAATAAAAACATGCTGAAGACAGAAGGCAAAACAACGTCAGCGATCTAAATGAAACACAGCACCAGGAGCACGTAAATGAACACGGACGTAGATGTTGACATCAGTGTGACCAACCAGGAGGCCAGCGTCAAATCAGAGTGGTACAGATTCCTGTGTTAGAGCCAATTCAACATTAGTCCAGCAGGGTTTCCACCAGTCCCTGAAGCGACTGACAGAGTTCTTTTTACATTTTCATTCTGTGCTTTAACCGCAGGTGAAGTGAAAGTGGAAACATTCAGACTACTCTGTGGTCTGGGGGACTTTCCGGTTGCCATTGGCTGCCGTGAAGCTGTAAAATGCCCTGTAAAACCTCCAACCAGACCTTGTAGCAGAAGAGGTATTGTTCCTGAAAGGAGAGAAACAAAGGCCGTGTCTAGCTTGCGGGAACTGTCTGTTTTTAAAAGCTTGAACTCTGACCTCTGGCACTGACCTTGGTCTGAATCATTCCGTGGCGCTGAAGTCTCATTTCCTTCACAATGTCACTAACATTAATCTGAAAACACACGGGGAAGAGAATGATTAACACATAAACACTCTGATCAGAGAATATCTCTCCTCCAATCTCCTAAATTGGTTAACTTGGTTACAAACTCAAGTATTTGACTGGAACATTCACCTAAACAATATGAGAACATCTGAAGAAGAATAAATCTTACAATGATGGAGGTGAACCAGGACTACTACACAAAGTTCAGTTTTATAATTTAAAACTATTATATTAGCATAAGGTGTCACAAAAAAACTTTATTATATAAGACGTAATTACAACATGATGTAACAAGACGGTGATGTTGACTTCCTATTGAAAGGCACATTGGAGGCAGTGATGCCCCCACTGTCATAGGAAAAAAAGCAAACTTGGCTCAAATTTGCCAACAAACTACCATTGGTTTTTAGCACTACTACTTCATGGTGCATGTTGTTGGCATTTATAATATCATAGCTTCCCTCTGTCTAGCCTGGATGCTAGCTTCTAGTTGCGACAAACCTTCATGAACTTGGGGTTCCTTCGACTACAATAAGAAGAGCTTCAGTTGTTCTTACTCACAGGTAAATCGTTTTCGATGAGACTCAGTATGACATCGGTGCAAATCAGAACTCCTGCGCGTCCGATGCCAGCGCTGCAGTGAACGGTCACCGGCCCCTTGTGGTGCACCGCTCTCAGGTAACGAATAAATCGCACCAGCTGTTCAGAAGAGTGCGGCACGCCGTGGTCAGGCCAGTGCGTGAACTTCAGGTGACGGACGAAATGTGTCTCACTGGTCTGAAAACACAAGATGATGTTTTTTTAATCAGACCAAGGATTACGCAGCGACATCTGTGAGACTCAGACAGACACGGGTTCTTCTCTTACTCCACTCTCCACCATGCGGATGACTTTAATCTGGAAGCACTCCAGGAACTGTTGGTTCTCCAGGTGAATCTGGTACCTGCCAGTGTCCACAGGCAAGCCCAGCTTTTCTGGCCAGTACTTATGACACTTGACCCTGCCTCGTTCCACTTCCTGGGTCATCATGGCGATGACATCAGATTTGTTCTCCCACACCATCTGCCAAAAAGCTGACACAGTGGAGGGCAGCGGGCCCTGGCAGGAGATGTAGGAGAACTCTGTGTCGCCCACTTGCATGCGGATGTAGCTGGCGTTGATGTAGTCCTGGTTTTCTCCAAGGGCAACACGGGTTTTGTCATCTGTGGAGGGAGGAAGTCAAGTTATATCAAATAAACTAAACTTCTTTGGCAGTTACTGTATCTCTATCTCTGCAGTGCTACACCTTTTTAGCTAGGACTGTTGTTGAAATATGTAAATAGAACCAAAGTTTCTCTGAGGTCTGGAATCAAACTATTATTTTAAGTCACTTAAAAGACTCCACAAGACAGAGATAGAAAAACAGAAAAAAGACACAAACAAGAGTCCAAACAGTGTTTGAATCAGGCAGCAGCTGCAACTAATAAAGAACAGGTTCTGAGTAGATTTTCATTCACAAATAAAAAAACCCATTAAGCAGCCCAAACAGTTGACTCCCCCCCTTTCCACTTTTCCCCTGTGTCCCTCCCCCCTTCTTGCCATGAATTCATACTATTTTTTTAAAAAAAAGCTTTTGACGTTATTTAATCCTGCTGTATTTAATAATGAGCACTAATCCCAACACATGAGAAGGTTAGTTATGAATCAAATCTAATCTCTCATATCATTTATGGCTGAAACTTAATATTTGTTAATGTGGAAAATGATTTGCTGCCCGGTTAAAGGAGGGAGCTAACAAACAGGTCCACATAAAAATGTCAACCCTGTGGTTGTCAAACTTTTACAAGCTTCAGTGCAGTGATAAAATAAAACAGTCCAGGAGGCAGAGATGGAAAAAACACAGGTGTCTGTGAGAGCAGGAGAAGAAACTCACAGGGTAGAATATCTCTGTAACGGTTCTTATCTCGGTTCTCATGAGCTTTTCCCACCAGACAGTTATCAGAGGGTTTCAGATGCTCCAGAGCCTGAAATAAACAACAGCACAGTATATGGTGTCATCATAAAAACGCAGCAGCTGGATCACAACATGGCTGTTGCTGCGTGTCTGTTTACAGCTTCTGTATCTAATGACTGAGTTTCAACTTCTTTTTCTTCCTTTTCTTCCCTATAAATTTCAGTGGATGTGTTTATTTGGCAAGTGCGAGTTGACAAGTCGTAGTAAAAGAAAAAGTACGAACCATGAACTCTTTGACCAGTTCCTGCTGGCCCAGCTGATGCTGCAGAATCTGGATGAGAGCTTTGACCCTGGAGCCTGAATACTGGCTGGTCCTGTCTGGACTGATGAGAGCCAAACTGGCCAGTTCCTCCTCTGATACGATAGGTGGGCCTGAGGAAGCAGAAACAGGAGGAAGGTTGAGGGTTTGAGGCCCCTACTGATACACTTTGACATTGTGGAGGTTGTACAAAGACATGAAAACCTGTATGTGGTGAGGTCATTTCCTGTTGGCTGGTGTCAAACACATCATCATCTTCATCTTCGCTGCTCCAGCCGTCTGATTGGGTCTTACGAATGTCTTTACAGGACTGGTCCAAAAGTTTGGTCACAATGTGTTTCCTGGGGGAGTCAGGGGGCAGGGGTGAGACCAGACCATTTTTATTCTTCGGGAGGGGATGAAATCATGCAAGGCTGAGCTTCCTGTCCCTGCGACTTTTCCACCTAAAATACAGTATAGACAGAGGGCTAAAATACCTGCGTACTTCTCAGTACTCGTTGTTTGTGGTCTGCAGAGGATGGAACTATAATACTTCCTGACTGTCACACTATTTTTCTTTTCTCAATCCATTTACAACCCAGGAAGTTGTCTTGATTTGTTGCTCTCTGCTGCCACAAGGTGGTTAAGAGTGGAAATGCACAAGACAAGACAAACCCAAGTACTGTAGATGCGGGAGAAAGAAGGAAGTTGTCGTGAAGTTACTACCTGTCAGAAGCTCCATGCAACATGTCAGTGACACTGAGAGATGGGCAGCAAGCTTGATGAGAAGGCGTACTGTTACAGCTCTCCTGAGGTGGTAGACGGGAGGAGCAAGGTGTTAGCAATGTTAGTAAACGTATTAGGGAGAACTGGGGAGCACATCACTCTCACACAAGTGTAAGTGTAGGTGCATGTATGTGTGTATGCGTGTGCACATGGTTGTCACCTGAAATACTTCACTCTGGTCTGTGACAACAGTCAGACGTCGTGGAGGCGGTGGTGGTGTGGTCAGGACCACGACCGGCTCGGTGACTGCATAGTCTCCAGTCGTCTCTGAAGCAGAAACTTGTAATGTAATGTAATGTAATGTAAATGTTACTGAAAACAGTACAATAATGGACATGACATATACAGTTACAGCTTACATCGATAAATTAAAAGATATTAAAGTTATAGAAGATAATACATTTGTATAAATTACAGAAAAAATATGTAAAAACAAATAATAAACAAAACTATACATATATGTATACATAGCCTGTATTGATGTATTAATTAAAATCTCAGCTTTTGATAAGACATGAACTGCCATTACATCTCACGCACCCCCTAGTGGCAGCTTGCGCTCCCACAGGGTTGTGTGCATTTCCGTTCTTTGGGCTTATCGTCTTTTTTAAATAAATGGTGTTTGGTCTGTTCCCTGCATGTGCCACTGATTGTGGGCAAATATATTAGTAAAACTTGTTGTAAAGCAGATCGCCTCTACACCTGAGGTCGAACATCGTTGCATTATCATAGACCAGCTGTTGCAGCTCAGTGCAGTTACTGCATCTCTATGGTGACAACATTCTTTACACCTTTGTTTATAGAAACCCACTCTACTTACATAAGTGTGTGAGTGTGATAAGGGAAAAAAGGAGATCATCACCTGGATGACGCTCAGGTGGATTATCCAGGATGACCTCAGGTGAGGGGCAGGGGTCTGGGGACGGCTGAGCAGCTAAGACAGGTTCAGTCGGCGCAGACATGTTGGGTTGTGACGGTAACTCAGAGTAAGTCAGAGGCATGATGTCTCTGCAGATGGTGAGCTGAACGGTGCCCTCAGCTTTACGCAGGATGTCCACCACTTTACTGTGGCTCAGACCGGAGACTATCACACCGTTCACCTGCAGGCGGACCCCAGAGAGGATCAGGACATGTACCACGGCTGTTAGACCAGAGAGACAGAGTGGGTGAGGAGTTGTTACCTCTAACAGAATGTCTCCCACTCGTAAACGACCGTCCTGCTCGGCTGCTCCGCCACAGCAGATCTCCTTCACTCTGAGCAAGCTGCCGTTGGTCCCAGCAATCAAAGCAAAGCCGAGGCCGCCACCTTCTGTTTTTTTGAACTCCACTTGCATGATGCAACTCTGTGAACACAAGAGAACCAGAGGGAGGTTATTGTCAGAGAGGAGACTGAATGCTGTCTAACTGACACACAAGAGACTCATGTTACAATAGGAAACGGATACAGAGAACGGCATCTGGTGATAAAATAAATGGATACTGAATGAATTTTAAACAAAATAAGTCAAATGAAATAAATAAGAACAATGAAAATAAGAATATTGTTTTCAGTAACTTACATCGTGTTCCTGACTGACGGAGAGGCAGCGGAAGCCATTAATGGTCATGGCCAACAAATCATCTGAAACAGATGAGAGATATTAGATGGTCAATGAACAGTACACTACAGTACAGTACACTACAGTACAGTACACTACAGTACAGTACAATACAGTACAGTACAGTACAGTACAGTACAGTACAGTACAGCCAAACAACTTCAGTTAGTTCACATAATAAAATGGTTTCTAGATATTTTAGCAGCCAGAAAGTCTCCCTCCGTCCCTCCGTTATTAGTTGAAAATGTTCCCAAAAAACAGACACATAACATAACAGTACACGAAGACACACCGACCTCCCACCTCCTCGGTCATTCTGAAGGACAAGTGATGAAAAGAGCGTTTCTTGTATGACAGGTGGACAAGGTGGGTCTTTTCAGAGGGACCCTGTCCACTGTCCCTTACCGCTGTATGCACTGTCACCAGGCAACTGAGCCGGGCAACCTGTCTTATAGACTGGTGAGTGTATGGCACTGCCTCTGTGTGTGTGTGTGTGTGTGTGTGTGTGATGGCTTGCATGTGCAGCCTAATACACCAGTGGAGGGCCAGAGCCTAGGTAATTATTAATCCTGCAGTGAGAGCCCAGTACCTGTCTGTCAGCACACACACACACACACACACACATTGCTTCAACATATCTTTCAGCAACGGGCTCCAAATTCACACTGACAATGCAACAAAAGCACAACAGGCAAAAGACATAGAAAGAAACCAAGTCATGGAGCGCAGAGAACATCCTGCTGGTGACATCAAACTAAGAACAGTGAAAGGAAAGACAAAAGCTCACCCTCTTCAGGAGGAGAGTCCTTTTCTGGAGAAATACTATCGTCAAAGTGAGCGTAGGACCTCCTGTCCTTCTTCCAATCAAAAAAGCCTAAAAATGAAACATTTTATTTTGAGTTAAGTGTTGAAACCACAGATGCACGGACAAGGACTTCTGGTCTGAGGACCTGGTAATGATTGAACCTCAGTTGTCATTGTTTAACAGACATATCTAGTTTCTAGGAGATCCATCAGAGCATTTCCCCACCAAACAATCCTATCTGTGCTAACCTGAGCTGAACCAAGGACGTCATAAATCCTTACCGTTCCACTTGGCCTTTGGGGGTACGGGGTGGTCCTCTCTGGTTCAAACACAGAACAAGGGAGTTGGTGAGAAGGTTCAACCTCTCCAACATCCTCGTCACTTCTGTCATCGTCATACCTTATTATCTTGAGTTTGACTTTACGAGGGGCGACCTCACAGGCTTTGACGGCGTCCTCCAGCGTCATACCCAGCGTGCAGCGGCCACTAATGTACAGGATCTTGTCATTGGGTTTGACAGTTCCCTCCTCACTGGCTGGAGATCCTGGAACCACCTCCAGACAGTAGATGCCCTGCCATTTGCTGCCGATCCCTCCGGTCAGTTTTATACCTGCAGAGAACACACACAGTACAGTGTCCTCACCAAGGAGTAGATCTGAGAACACTAGAAATGAAAAGAATTCTTCTTCTTCTCAGTGTGCTGCAGTTTTTGGTGGCCTGAACATCTTAACAAATCCTGGAACTTTCTGTTGTTTAAATTGGACGGGAATCTTTTGGACCGAGACGTTTGTAAGTCCTACCAAGATACAGTCAAGAAGTAACATCACACAACATATATCAGAGTGTGTACTGTGTCCTACCCAGCTGTCCTGAGGACGTCTTGTGCAGGACGACCTCCGGCAGGCTGTCACAGGGTGGTGGGGCCACCAAGTTAGTAACTGCCCTCCCCAGGGTCATGCTGAGTTTTCTCTGAGATGCCCTGAGAATCGTCATGGCAACATCATCCGCGACAGTGGTCACGTTATGTCCATTTACCTGAAGACAAACAGCATAAGGAAAAATGTTTTCTCTCTGCAAGTCAGACTTTCATTGGTTTATCATCGTGGAGGAGCGTATGTTTATGTACAATAATGAGCCTGTCTCCTGCTCTAAGTCTTCCATCTGCCTTGGCTGGGTTGTCCAGTATTTCCTGTATGTAGTAGCAGTTGTCCAATTTGCTGCGGGCGATGGTGAATCCAAAGCTTCCACTTCTGGATTTAGTCAGATACACCTGCAGTTCAAACTCTTTGACAAATCCCTGAAAATCAGGAGAAAACACACATTTAATACTTACTTAAAAATCTAAATAAATCCAAATAAACATCTTCCAGTAGCTTCATTTCATTGAATCAATTATGAATCATAAAATTATAAAACTACATTAGCGTCTTGCCTTTCTTCGACTGGCTTCCTCTTCCTCTTCCTCGCTATCTTTCCTGCGTTCCATATCGTTTGCCACATGCTCTTCCCTCGACTGTGAGCGACTCTGTCCAGAAGAGGGCAGCACAAAGGTTGTCACTGGCCCCCGGGCAGGAGGACTGACACTAGGAGGCACAGAGGAGATGACCTGGGCTGTGATCGGGGTCTGTGGTGGAGCAGGAAGCTGAGGAAGAGGAGGAGGAGGTGGCGGCACAGCAGGTCGACTGTTTTCAGAAAAGGCTTTGTAGAGATTCGGAAAGAAGCCCTGCTGGATCGGGTGGTGCTTGGCCTTGGACGGCTGAGTGGTGAGCGGCTGAGAAGGAGGGGCAGGGAAACAAGTGGTCGGCGTGTTGGACATGAGGGTGAGCGGCGAGACGGTGGTAAGAGGGACGTGGTTTGGATTCTGGGAGCTGAAAGTAGAGGAGCTGATGGAGGTTTGAGAGCTGGGAAATGTGGGCTTGATTGATGGAGAATTTGTGGTCAGACTGGAGGGAAAGCTGTGAGGGGGCTCCAGTGTGGAGCTGATGGTCAGGTACTCTTCGTCTGCCATGATGGTTAGTCCATTTCCCATGAGGCAGTAGGTCACACTTCCATCTGCGTCCTCCCTGACTCCACTGTAGATAAACACAATAGAGAATAGTCTCTTTTCACTCACATGTAACGTTATAATACAGCTTAACATTACAAACACATTCCTTTTGGCTGTGATTAAATTATTTATTTTATTATTTTGTAAACATTTATTTAAAATAATACAAAGCTACAAATACAAAAGAAATCTGCTATCTACAGTATTTCAAACTACATTTATACCACCACCTACAGGTGGGAGGGGGGACTACAAGCTTTTGACAATAATATAAAATTCTAATTCTAATAATAATGTGAAATTAGAAAGATTATTAAAAAGACATGTCTGTAAAAACGATACCTCACCTGGCATATATGGAGTTGGTTGCAGTCTTAGGGCCAACATCCAGGAGCATCACAGTCGAACCTGATGTCGTTGCAGCCACCTCATCTGGTCTCTGGGCTCCAACCTCCTCGTGTTCCTCTGGATTCCTTTGGCTGGATCCTGACTCAGTCTGAGCTGGGGGAGAGCCCGAGGTATGTGAGGTGGGCGAGGTGGGTGACACTGGTGAGACCGGGGATGGAGGTGTCGTGGGTGACGTGGGTGAGGGCGGTGAGCGTGGTGGGGACGGGAAGCTCTGGTGGACGTGCACTTCGCTCTTCAGTATCTTTTGGCTCTCTGTCGGAGTGACACGAAATTCATGGTTTCTCTCTCCTCTGTTGGTCAAATCCTGCTCCTGGTTGAGGACTCGGCTCAGAGCCCGGTTGTTGACGTCGTACTGACCCTTGAGGAGCTGGCTGTAGTCTTCTTTGAAATGGATGTCCGAGGTCAAAGATCTGGATCGAAACTCCCGGGTGGGAGCAGGACTCTACGGAGAACAGAAGGAGGTTAAGGAATACATCTGGTATCCTCGACCAAACTTAGTTCTGGTCTTGTCCACGTGGACTCACCAGTGTGTTGTCATCTCCATCACAAAGTGTTCCAGGGGCTGGACGGCAAACCAGCAGGTGAATTTCAGATGGAGCTCCACGTAAGAGGAACAAGACTCTCTGAATCAACAAAGAAGAAGAAAATGTGTTGTCTGGAGTTGGTGACAACATCTGGGCTGATCTCCAGTCCAGCTCAACACAAATGGGTCAAACGGCTCATTTGTTTACAAGATGTTCAAAATCTCATTAGGACTCATTGAACGTACGCAAAAGATTAAAGGGCAAAGGAAATGCTGGCTATTTTCACTCCCATTAGATTAAAGGATTAGTGAACTAACGAGAACCTGTTGATGACCAGGACCTGAAGAAACAACAACGTCAAAACACCCCTGTGTCATTGGATACATTTATAAGTTTATACTCCAAGACCTGCCAGTTCCTACCTGGTAGGACAGATCCCTTACAGGCTCTCTGTTGACAGTCAGAATGACGTCACCCTCCCTCAGTTGGCCACTGTCTAATGCCGGCTGTCCTGGGAACAGACGCTTGATGCGGACCACAGATCCTTGATCTGGTCCAGAACGCAGCTGTGAGATGTAAAAGCTGAAGCCAAGGCCGGACAACGTCTTCTTGAGCACAACTTCATGTGTGTTCTCTGGCAAAGGACAGAGATATTGAAGAAAGTGAATTAAAGTAGAATTAACAAAGGACAGAGATATTGAAGAAAGTGAGGACTTTAGAATTACAATGTTTTCTTTAATCCATGTGAAACTCTCCCTTTAACTCATCTGCACGGACGCCATCAAGGTTTCAGCACATAGAGTCTCAGGGGACGGAGGCGACGTCAGTGCTGGACGATGCTGACAGTAACCACAATGTAGCTGTCAGATGACTCACACTCCCCTCAGGGCTGTGTGTGTGTGTGTGTGTGTGTGTGTGTGTAGTTTTTCCCTCTGTGAGCACATCTGTCCCTTCATCTCCACACTCACCCTCGGTCACAAAGCTGTAGTCCTTGGCTCTCGCAGGCAAGGTCGTTTCCACAGAGGCCTCGGTCCTGGGGGGCTGTGTGTGTGACGGGCTGTGGGATAATTGGGGGCAGGGGGAGTCAGATCTGGACTCCAGGATGACCGTGGGCTCTCGCTCCAACAGTAGACTCACCACCTAGAGAGAAACAGATGCACAAATATATTACACTGGTACATGTTGGAGAGGCTGTTTTAAAAACTGTTATATTTCAGTAGTATCTGCTGTATGTGTGTGTATGTGTGTGTGTGTGTGTGTGTGTGTGTGTGTGTGTGTGTGTGTGTGTACCTCCCCAGTCCTCTTCAGGCACTCGATAGCTTGTTGGTGAGTCACTGCCCTCAGGTTGGAACCATCAACCTCTAGCAGTCTGTCACCTGTCATAAACACAAACAAACACAACTATCATTATAAATACAGTAGAAAAACATCTCAAATGTATAAATTACACATATAGATTTATTTGAATTTAACTTTGAATAATTTGGAATCTCTTGGACATGGAATTAGGAATTATCATAAATTCCTGGAATTCTGAAAGTATTATAAGTTAAGGACTGTATTCTCAGATGTTTATTCCACTACTTTCAGGCTTATGTTACATAACATTTAATACTTAAATCAAATCCATAATGTTGTAAATTCCATAGGAGTGTATTTAAATTTGAACACAATATATTAAAATGTTACAAAGCATGAGTTAAAGTCAATAGAATTTGGAAAGTCAAATCTGTACAGATTATACATTTAAAAGAAAGATTACCGATCTGAATGCGGCCATCCTGGTCTGCAGCGCCCCCTGGCACCAATGTCTTGATGTAAATGCCTCCGTATCGCACGTTAGTGTTCATTCCTCCCTTTTTACGCCAAGAAAGAATAGAAATATTTGTCAGAGTCACTGACGTTCCTTTGGTCACGGGGACGGGAGAATCCAAAAAAAAGTTTTAAAATTAGCAAATACTAATACAATAAATGTGACCAGGCAGTTCTGCCTGCTTCTATACAGAGGCAATAAAAATATGAGGCTAATGATTTATCACTCACAGCAACACTGATGCCAAGACTGCCATTGATTTTCTTCAGCTCAACTATAAAACGCTCAGCAGCTTTAAAACTTAAGGCAGACGGAGACCTGGAACATGTATCCTGTAAAAAAGAAGTTGAGTTAAAAATTAGTGATTTAAGATGAAGAAAGATTTAATGATTGAATTAGCTTCATCCTTTCCATTTGGCTGCCACCTTTAGGGGGCGCCACAGTAGCTCTTCTATCTATCAACTCTGTCTTCATTCACACATCATAGCAGATCCCACTACCATCTTTTAGACTTCCCATCCATTAGTCCTGACGTTCACCTCCACCCACCCACAACCTCTTTTTTTGTGCAGACCTTTTCTTTCGATGTCAGGCAGCAGGTCTTCAACCCCTCAACCATCTCCATGTAAAGTTCTCACCTGGGGATCGTGTATTCTAACAACAGGAATGTGAAGCTTCTTGTTATGCTTTGGCGTCGCCATGTTGGACAGCGCCATGGCCTCCTCCAGTTCCTCCACAGGGGGGCGGAACTCAGTGCCACTCAGCGTGGTCTGTGACCCGAAGCTGCGGTCCAGGGACAGACCCACGCTACTCTGACTCAAGGAACTTTTCAGATCTTTCAGAGACTCTGAGAAGAGGGAGATCATAACTGGATGTTTTCATGACAAGCGATGCAAAATCTTGACAGTGATTTATGAAAGCACGGTCTCTGAGAGTCGGACTTTTAGAAGTGTTGACAGTGATTTATGAAAGCACGGTCTCGGAGACTCTGAGAGTCGGGCTCTGAGAGTGCAATGTCTCTGAGAGTCGGACTTTGAGAGTCGGACTCTGAGAGTGCACTGAGCAAACTTACGTTTAGGCTGTGACACAATGAGCTCCACTTCGTCAGGGCTGCTCTGTAAGACGGCAGCAGCGTCGCTGAAAGTCACGCCCTCCAGGCTAGTTTTGTTCAGGGAAATGAGACGTCCACCTGGTTCAAAAAATGAACTGAATAAATACATGTCTGTGGACAATGACCTACTACATTTAATCTAAGTCTTCATCTTTTTCTTGCTATGATGCAGATATTTACCAGGTTTTATTCTTCCATCTCTGCCTGCAGGTCCATCAGGAACAATGGAGGCAACGAAAATCCCAAGGTCGAGTTTACCTGTGTTGTCCTCCCCTACAATCACAAAGCCTGGAACAGGACAACCACAGCAGGTCAAAAGAAAAATCTGAAATATGACTCTGGTCACATCTCCCAGCTAAACCCAGTTACACTGACTCACCAAAGCCCAGTTTGGGATCCTTCTTCAGGGTCACACAGATAATTTCTCTCTCTGGTGGAGATCTTGTTGGTGTGTCAACTGCAGAACACGTTTTACATAAGACATGTTACTAATTTAGGTTATTAAGGGCACAAACATAAAAAAGACTTGAGACTGTAGCAGCCTCTGCTGGTCGGATGAAGTTAATAGAAACACTATGGCTATCAAACAAATTCAGTCTGATGTATCACAGGGTAGTTCTAGATTAATCTGATTAATCATAATTAACTGTGACTGAAAAAATATGAAAAAAAATGTGGGTTTTTTGTGCATATTGTTGCAGGTAGATTATACCTAGGCACATTATTACAGCCCGTGGGCCAGATATGCCCCTTTGGGGTTTCTAATACAGCCCACCAAACACTGGCACTAAATATGGTAAAGACTGGTGTCAATCATTTAGTTTCATGCATTACAAAAAATCAACTGTAATTTCTGTTAATTGCCACTAAATGGCAGCAGACATCGAATGTGCCAGATTATTTTTTTAAAGTTTAGTTTTATTCTATTCTAGCAGACATCGAATGTGCCAGATTATTTAAGTTTAGTTTTATTCTTGTACATTTAATTTAAATTATTTTGAAAAAGCAATTATCTGACAGTTGATGCAAAGGTCAGTCCTGAAAGAGCAGCAGAATCACAATAACAAACGTGTCCACCTCGTATGGAAGACGAGGACTCGTATTCCTGCTTCTGTAGAGAGAGACTGGACAGCATTCTGGGAATACAGTTTGGAGCGCTGCAACAGAAGGAGAGCTGGATCAGGTCAAGTCTTCAGATTTTGTTAGATTAGGTTCAGAGAAGAGTATAATCATAATCATAATCATGAGAAGCTGCTGTACCTCCAATGATCGTCAGGGTCTTTATCCGGGGGGTCGTTGTTTAATATCCTGCTCATCTCCTTCCTCATCTCACACTGCAGACGGAGTCGAGCCTCCATCTTAGCGGTCAGGTCATCGCAGGACTTGGACAGAGATTCTGGTTGACCCGGCGTCACACCCACGTGGTTCAACATGCTCTCCGAGCAGGAAATTCGCTTCAGGTTCATGTTCCGAGCGCGGTAAACAGACATGTATTTCATATTTTCATCTAAACAGACAGAAGGAGAAGAAGGAGAAAAAAATGTTGCTTGTTTTAAAACAATCCCTGTAATCATCTAATTCTAGGCAATAATACCACATTCCCACCTGGTATTATGGTATGGTTGAGTTGCCGTGACGACATCTCACTGTGAAACTTGTGCTGAGCTGAACAAAGGTTGAGAAGGTACTGAGCTATTTTTGTGCTTTCTGTTATAAAACTGTGCTTCTTCCCACTGGGCCCTCCACACTCGATGATCAGTTTATGTCGCTGAAAGACACACAAGTCGTCACACACTCACGTGGAGCTTCACAGCCACATAAACAGCACAAAAGTCACTTTAAAGAATGTGATTGGAGACTAAATAGTGTTTTCACCCCTGTGGAGATGGAGTCCGTTTCCCTCCAGAGGAATCGTCTGGTGACAGTCCGGATGTGGTTCTTCATTTCGTACACATTGATTCCATTTACACAGATTCCCAGCACCAGCTCTCCGCCCACCGGCCTTTTCTCTCTTCCAACACGGTAAAACATAACTCCATATTCAGGTAACTGCTGGGCAATCTGAGGGTCACAAACAGAATTATTAAAACTTTACGGCTATTCAGAGATTACATCTTAGCTGTTAGGAATTGTTTCGTGTTCTTCTTGCAGGCGTAAGGTTGTGGTTTTATGTTTAGTCTCGACACCTTTAGATATTCTGTTTCTGCGTCTTCAGCCTGCATCTGCACATGGTTGGCGTGTATTCTGGGCAACTCTTCTCTGATGTTGGGCAGAGCCAGTTTCTCCAACATCCTCTGGGACACATAATGTTCTGGCTGGTAGTAATGTTTACCATACAGCTGAAATGACACACAAATGAACAAAATGACACTCTGTTACATAAGAGATATTTGAAGTTTCAGTATTTAGTAAATGTTTTTTTTTTGTCCAAGTTTCAGTATTTAGTAAATGTTTTTTTGACCCTCTCTACCTCTGGCATATAATCTCCAAATTCAGCCTGCAGAGCAAGGGCAGCGAGATATAAGCCAGTCTCCTCATTACAGTAGAGTCTGTCCTCCAAGATATCCTTACGCAGCTGCAAGTAGTACTGGTGTCGCGTCAGTTTGTGCCTACGAAACAGGAAACAAGAATGACATCAATGTAACGCACAGTCGTTTGGTGGCACCCTGTGTTATAAAGTTTTACTCTGAACCGGGTACAAAAGACAAATATTGCAGTACAACTCTCAACTTCCAAGACATTTTTCTTGGTATTAGCACTGAACAGAACCCAACCCTATTCCTTCAAGGTATCTTAGGTAATGGTGTGGAATATCTTTCCAAGCCTCCTTAAGGAAACTTATTTAAAATTTTGTTTAATTAATTTAAATAATCCTTTAAAATGCCATGATAATCTGGTGGATTAACCTCAAAATATATTATTTAAATAAATGATTAGAATGTTTCTATGGTTACCAAGAAAAATAAAGTAACTGCCAAATAAGGAAAGGAAAGGAAATTTCTGGATAAGAAAATACAAAAACGACAGATAACACAGTGTGTACTCACAAAATTAGGGAAACATCATCAACAAAAAACTTCACTCGCAGGAAGACCAAAAATGAAGTAATCTGTCCTTTTTTCCAACTGTCAGGCGCAGCCTTGCTGACTTTTGACTCCGGGTCGAGGAAGAAGTATTCATCGTCTGCAGAATGACAGAGATAAAGGGAAAAACGCTCTAATTCTCTCTCCTCCTGCTGGCATGGTCCAAACTTCATGCCAGTACTGAAAGCATGTGAGCGATTGTTTTGATGAACAATCAGTACATTATGTCCCTTACCATCTAGGAAAGCAAGGCCAAAGTAGAAGTGTTCCACCAAGTTTGCATGAGCCACCACCATGTCAAACACATCTCTTGCTTTGGACTTAATGTCACAGCGAACCATCACGTACTGTCCATTGGGCATCACCACAGTCACTTCTCTCTGAGATGAACATGAACGGCCCTTTCTGGACTGTGATGTACATGTACGGACACACTGACACACATGCACATAGAAAATACCTACATACATTCACATACATGCACCTAATATTACAGTACGGTGCATGCAATATGCAAACAGGACATAGTTCAGCATGCAGGGAGGTAAATTAGAACAGTGTGAAATGTTATATTAGCATCGATTGGTAGCAGAACAAATAGAGACAGAGGAGGGGAAGGGAAATCAGGAATTTACCACAATAGATCCTGGAAGCTCGAGAAGAGTTTGTTGTTCATCCGACATTCTGATGAACTCAGGACCCAGAGCCTGACAAAATAAACATTTACAGTATAAACTCTTCGAGCAGCGACACATGCAATAGACTTGGGAAAAGTCCAGAGGAGTTCTCATACCAGGATCTCCATGGAACCATGGAAAAATCAGCTAGGCCTTCAGGGTCATAATACTTTGTTTCCATGGAAATATAAGTATAAATAAGTAAATAAAAATAAAATAAAATAAAAACATTCCAGGTCCTACCTTGGCTTTCTTGTGACTCAGACTAAGTGAGGAGTCACTCATGGTGATGGAGGGGCTTTGAGATCTGCCTGATAGTTTAGGAGAGGAGCCATGATGGGTGCTTCTACCAACCCAGCTGCTGTTACTGTCCCTGTGGCGAACAGCACGAGGGAGTCTGTGGTAAGTAAATGAGAGGGAGGGAGAAGGGAGAGAGAGAGAGGATAGATCGCAGAGTGAAACACAACTCTGGACCAATGTCATGTCCCCTCAAAGTCGGCTCCGATGATAAGGGAGGAGAAAAGGGTAAAAAACAAGATTGATTTGTTTCTGCTGACACGTGCACACACACACGTACACAGTACAATACAGTAGCGCTAATGCTAACTATAGCCTCGGCAGTGATGGAGTGAATAGCCGTTAGCCCGTCATACCTGTCCAGAGAGGAGTGGTGCAGCAGTGCAGGAGTGCTCCTCGGTCTTTGTCTCCAACGTCTTTGACGTAAACTCCCTGAAATCAACACTTGAAATGTCAGAAATATCCTGCCGCACCAACACACACACATACACTGCTAGAAAATGTGTGTGTGTTTTTGTTCAATAAATACTGAAGCATCCTTCTTCTCTCCTGTGACTCTGCAGATTTGGTGAAGGCTGCCTCACACACACACACACACACACACGTTGTGTACCTGACTTGGAGTCAGAGTCGGTGGAGTATCTTCTCCCCTCAGCGCTGCCGTCGCTGAAGTCTGAAAATTGCCCCTTCTTTCCTGTTAACCAGGTAAGAGGAGAGAATTGACAGCGGTGTGAGACCCCACGTCCTTTTGGCTGCTTCACCCTGAGACTCTCAGATGTTTGGGTGGAACTGAGGCTGGAACTGATTTGATTATTGGCTCTCACAGGATACTAATCCTCTTCTTCCTTTAGGTTAAGATTTTAATCCTGGTGACCTGCAAACTAGGGACCACTCAACAATGAGTTTGTTTAGATGATACTTTCATTTCCATTGTTGAGTTGGTTAAGATATTTTAATTATATCTTCATTTCATTTAGCAGAAATGAAAAAAACAAAACAAAACGATTTGCTAAGTCCATATATACCTGAAGACTCAGTAGAGGTTCAAGTTATTCATATTTTTTAATGCCTGTCGTTTTCAGTGTTTTTTACATCTTTGTTTGTAGAGTCACAGTGATTACACCCCGCCCCCTTCACCCACACCAAAAGTGGGACACTACAGAAGGTAATATTCGATTCACCCTTAAATCCTAGCAAATGTCAGTGTTGAGACAGGATTAATTTTTGGCAGGACTCACCGTGAAGTTTCTCTCTGATCATCTGGCTTCTGCCACTCAAAGGGATGTTACTGTCTGGCAAAGTGCCCTGGTCCGTCTGCAGAGAACAAACCAAAACATTAGAAGTAATTTCTCTTCTGATGTCATCCAGATTCTTGTCCAGAATTCTTAGAGAAATCCAAAAGGTTTCCCAAAATATCTCAGACTCACTGGTTCGTGGAAAACCTCCTCCACCAGCTGTCTGATGACTTTGGCAGTCGGTGGCAGGATGGAGGCCTTGTGGTGTGATTCGCAGGCCTCCAGGATGGAGGTGAGCGTTATCCTGCGCTGGGCCAGGTCCTCACACATGCTGAGGAGTAGGCTGTTTAGATGGTCACTCAACTGGACAGGCTGAAATAAATAAAAATGACACTTTTTTATTGACATTCACGTTAGAACACAACAGTTAATAGAACAGCAGCGTCAACAGTTTCTCACCTGATTTTGAGGTAGGTGAAAATCAACTGACCAGTAAAGAGTCATACCCAGTGAGTACACCAGCATCTGTGCAACAAATATGAACTCAGTTCAAAATTAATTTTCATTACATTTTAATACAATAAATTGATTTATTGATATAAAATACATTTAAATCCATAAAACACTTATTTATTTCCTGGTGAAATATAAATTCACCATCAATAAGCCAGTTATCAGAACGTCTGTGTGGGGCTATTAGCAAAACGTAGCTTCATTAGCTAAAACATGCTCAGAAAGAACCAATTTAGGAGTTTGGAGCAGCTAAAATAAAAAAGGTCTGCCAAAAGATGAATCAAATTGAGAAAAAAAAAGAAATTTACAGGTAGCACCAGAAACGTTTACGTATTTTAGCAGGTCAAAAAAAGGAAACTATTTTTGTGCAAGGTTTTCCTACTCCACCACTAGATGGCAAAGTAACACAACTGTGACAAATCCCACATACATTGAGATAATTTCATAACGTTAAAAAAAAATCATATCGGCATCTGATTAAACTGAAAACAGCTCACTGTCGACTTCGATAAAATGTAAATAACCAGTGCCACAAACATCCGTGGATATATTTTTATGAGGAATCTGTAAGAACATAAATATGACAAATGTTTCTCTGACCCTCTCTATGGCAGGTTTGGTGGAGCTGGCTCGGCCCTGCAGCAGTTCTGGAGGGGTGAAGGTGGACACCTCATCTGATAGGCCACAGTTCTTAAAGGCTAAGGTACCGGTGGCTGAGAGCAGCACGGAGGTGGGGCTAATGATGTTGTACATGTTGTTGTGACCTGGTGGGAGGGAAATAAAATACCATAACTCTGTGGTTAAGTCATACTGAGTAAAGAACTTAAAACGTAAAATTGAACACTGACCTAAAAATGTATCAACACAAATGAGTTGATAAATCTTTACCTTTGTAAGAAGCATCCAATAAAGACTCTGCAGTGCCCAGCAGCAGGGACCAGACCTCCTCCTCCAGCAGAGGGCCCCCTCGAGCCTCCAGTACTTCAGCTAATGTAACGAATGTGCTGCTCATCCTGCACACATTCCTGCACACACAGTACACAGATGCACGGATAACTGTGGGGCTGTGTTCTAAAACAGACAGGACATCTACAGCAGTGGAATGAACGTCAATGCCTCACACACTTTCTTTTATTTATTTTTTATTTATTTCCAGGTAGAAGTGTTTCCTCTCCTCACTACATAATATCTGTGAATCACAGTCACCCAGGGTGGAGTTAGGAAGAAGAGGGCAGTTGCCCTGGGCTCTTGGGCAACACATAAACTTAAGTGGAGATGTACTTTTTACTCCACACATGGGACAATGTATAACCTTTCAATTCTAAAATGTAATTTAATGGCAAAATGTGGATATACTACTTTCATTTAGGCTGTCTGTGTAATTATTATTATTATTATTAGTAGTAGTAGTAGTAGTTGAGGTAAGGAAGTTGAGGAAAATAAGTATTAATAAAAAATACCAAGGTCATTAGTCACATATATTAGCCTTGTGTTAACAGATTTAAAACCTGGGGTTTTCACTCACTTCCTGTTACTGTTACTTGTATTTAGTCTGACTTTACCACAGTCCAAACACCTCCAGGGATGTGTAACTTAAAACATTTATATATTAATAAATATTTGTATATAACATTGAGACAACTTGTTGTCTGTTTTTAAATTGTGTGCAGGAACATTCAATATTTGTATATAACATTGAGACAACTTTGTTTTTAAATTGTGTGCATGAACATTCCTAGGAATTGGAGTTTTAAATTTAAAAGATTTACCACAATAATTCAGTTTTTCTGAAGTAACTAACCTGCCTTAGCCGTGGCTTTTTTTTTCAGGTTAAATAGTGGTCAGAGGGGCAGACGTGAGTTTCTCTCTAGTCCTGACAGTCTCATCTCTGTGGTAACAGGAGACGTTCTGACAGACTCCACATAAAGAGACAGGTATTTGTACTGGACTCTGATCAGATTACTTTCTGGTCTGAGGCTCTAACTACTGTATGTTCTCTCTCTCTCTCTTTCTCTCTCTCTCTCTCCTCCTCCCATTTCATAATAGGCTTTTATTTGACCTGACGCTGGTTCTGAGCTGTGCTTCTGGCACCAGAGCAAAGGTGTCATGATACTCTGTTAGCATGTTGTCACACAATGTGTGTGTAAGAAAGGTGACGATGAGGTGAAATGAAAGTGGAGAAATAAAATGACACCGACAATATTGTAAAAGTAGAGAAAAAAATCCCATTCCATTCTAATGTATAATTACATTATAATTGTTGCAATAATTATATGCGTGAGGAACAGTGTTACACACGCATTACGTTTTCCTTCACTTTATATTGTTATAAAAATGGTATTTGATGAACACCTTGTGTCAGCTCCAGGTGTGTTCACACCAATCCACAGACTAATATAACACGACATATTTTCTACTCTAATAAATCGTCAATGTAACATACGTGGCCTCATCTGAACAGGGGGAGTTAGGTCCAATTCCAGTTGCGTTCCAAATGTGAATGAATAGGAATTTAGAGTAAAATAATGCAGAACATTCGTGAACCGTAGGATGGGAACAGCAAAATGTAGATGATGACATACGGTGTGGTGAGTTTAACAGATTCATTGTCTTTCACTTTCTTTTTCACCTACCTATTAAAAAGGTAAGATATAAAATGAGAAACTTTAAGAGCTTTAATATTGAAAAAGTGTTAATTTACTAGAAAGAAAATACTTAAGGGAATGTCAACAACTTTAAGTAAACAAATTAACATCTTAAGAATTTTCTCTTTTCTTTTTTTTTTATTTAAATCTAAACGACTTGCAATTCATCATCTTTGACTTGAATATTTAGCTCCTAATTTTCTAAGGTCTTGGACCAAAAAATGATTTTAATAATATTAACATATTAAAACATTAGTTAGTTGCAGATCCTCCTAAGCTCAACCAGAGAGTGGAACCAAACAACACCGTCCCAGTCACACAAACCAACCCAATTACATTGGGCGTGATTTAATCCTTTGCTTAAACTGACGTTATCCTCAGCACATGACGCCCAGGTTGTCGTGGGAGTGCCACCCGGTCCTTGATTCTTCTCGTGATCGGTACTGTGATTATTAAGATTATTAATAAAATGCTTCAAATGCTGACATGCATGCAGCTGTGTAATGATTTAAGATGAGGCGAGCAGAGTAGAAAAGAAACTTTGCCAGGTGTCTCTACTCCTGAGCCAACCTTTAGCAGCTCCACTGCCTCAGAGGTGTGTCTGCAGGAGTTAAGCTAATAGACTGGTGTGAGACCATGTGATCAGGGCTGTGGACTGTGTTGACCAGTCGTTGAGCGGTCAACACTCGTTTAGACACCCCATCATATACATATCAGGTCTGAAACTTCGATCTGATCAGTTCCTCTTAAATCTCTCCTTCTGATTTACACACAAATCCTGTATCTGTGTCCTCGTCTTCATCGCATCCAATGCAAAATGCCCAAAACGCCACTGCTCTTATTCCCTAAACAACAACTTACACCACAGTCAAACATCAATCACATGATGCACACAGACACAGAGAAGAAGCTGTGCAGTGTTCTTGGAAATTCCTCCTCTTCAGCATCGAGGTCTCTGTGTTGCAAAATCCTTGCCATCTCTCCTCAAGGTGACATGGTAGCATGTGGGCGTATTGGATTGTCTAATGGATGTGAAACAAACACCAGAGGCAGAGTCTTGGTTTTGTAGCCACTGCACAAACACCACCTTTTCAGGAGGTGGATTTCTGCCCCAACAGGCCCTGACTGTAAAGGCTGTGCATCCTGCCTCCTAAAGGTGTGTGTCATTACAACAACCCTGTGGACGTTTGGCTGTGGTCAGAGCGCAATCAATGTAAACATGAAGCCCCCCCCCCTCCACCCCCCAGCCTCCCCTGTGCGATGACAGTGTGAAGATTAGGAATGGAAATAAAAATCTACCTGGTAACACATGTATTGAGTGTGAGCCGTCTGATCCTCTGTTATCTTCAACGCTCCCACCACGGATCCAAAATAATCCTTAAGATCATGGCATCGCAGTTTTGACGTCCTCTCAGTGAAGGCAGCTCTGCTCCATCAGGGACATCCTCCGTGCATGGTGCTCCATTCATCTACTCTATTACCTCCACCACCACCGGGCTGGAGATGTGAAACTTTTCTACTGTAACTGCCGCTATTCTTAGTCTTTTGCCTCTAAACGCTTAATTGGATTATTGGCCTGGCGCTTTGACACCGACAAGTCAGAGCCACCAATAGCGGGTGGTGTGAGATCAGCTACACCGATTTAAACTAATCCGTCTGACGCCCGAAGGTGCGGTGCATCCTCAGCGGTGAGGTGTGCTACAGACCAGCCCGGGAAGGACGAAGGACCGCGGCCACACCAGTGGACTGTAGGAGCCTGCTGATGCTGATGCTGATGCTGCTGCTGCAGTAGGGCTGCTCCCCCACAATGATTATAACACTGCGGACTCTCTTGGAACACGGGGTAAGAAACTGTAGTAGCCTCGTCCTGCTGCGGGAGTCGGTGCTGCTGCTGCTGCTGCTGCTGCTG